AGGTCATAAATATGAAGGTGTCCAGTGATCTTACAGAACCTAAAATTCTGCCCCAGCTAGTGTGGCTCAGTGGATTAAGCACTGGTCTGCAAACCAAAAGGTTACCAGTTCCATTACCAGTCAAGGGACATGCCTGGGTTGCAGGGCAGGGTCCCCAGTTAGGAGCATGTGAGAGGCAACGAGATATTGATGATTCTCTCCCTCTCCTCCCAAGATCTTTTCTCCACATATAACGACTAAAAAGACCTCCCTACATCCTGAACTGCTTAGAGAAATCATGTTTAATTCCAGTACAAAGTTACCACTATAAAGATGAAAGATCTAAACATGGAAATGCAAGGAACAAAGTGCCCCACTATGGAACAGGGCCAGGGGCACTGACACTTCAGTGAGGCAAGAGAACACCCTAACTGATTCTGCAAATGAAAAGAAATCTAGCCAAGGTCACTATCTGGAGCATCACCCGAGGATTTTTTAGGCCTTTACATGGACCACCTTTTCACCTACCTCAGTCAATTTCTGGTATCTCATTAGGAAGAAATTCACTTGGTTTAAATGTGGTCAAGTTATCCAGGTTTACAAAATGTGAAGGAATAGTTACTCCTATCCAGGGCTGTCAATGGATTCAGCTCACCTCGACAAATACTGTCACAATAATAGCTAACACACCTCACAACCATCCTTCTTCTCTTATACCCCCTCTACCCTCACTCCTGAGTTTCAGCGGAGCATGTGGCCACCTGTCTAGCCTCCCCAGCAATTAGGTGTATCCATGAAACTGCTTGCTCCTTCTTTTTCTACCTTCCCCTTATGGGGCTTGGAGCAGAGTTGAGGTACAGATGAGACTGCTTCAACCATACAGATGAGAATAATCCCAATGCAATCCCAAAGGAATAAGACAGAAGGAACCCAAGTCCCTAAGTCCCCAGACAGAATCCTAGAGAAAGATCACCCACCTGGCCAGGACTCCAACCTATCCCTGAAACATACATTATGTGAAAAAGAAAATTCCATTTTGTAGTCTCTTTTGGGGGTCTCTGTTATAGCAGCTTAGCTTTCACCCAAACCAATATATATTCTTGATGATGCGCCCTGCTCAACCAGTCCTTGTCATGCCAATACTTGAATCCAGCCAGGCCTCTGCCCACCAGAATGCAAGAGAAAGCAGACCCTCATTCTGCCATCTCAGGGTTCTGACACTCTGCCCTGCCTGACACCAAGAGGCCTCCAGGACTAGTGAGCACAAAGGAAACCTTGTCAGAGAGTGGCCTGTCATGTCTAACTCACTCGTGGTGCTTGTTTGTCTTTGTTGATGATGTCACTAAAACGGTGCCATATGGAAGAACTTAAGGAGAGATTTTTACAGAAGAGAAGCTGTCCCTGCCAAAGATTGTGCTAACACCATTAAGAAAATTCATGGAACTACTGAGGAGAGGCAGCTAGAAAGGTTAGAACAAGTACTTGGTGGGAGCCAGGACCTGAGTTCTAGTCTTGGCCCTGGAAACCGTGGAGGGCAGCTGCCCCACTCAAGACTCAGTTGCCCTATTTGGTAAGGAGGGGTAGGTTGTAAAAGCCAACAGACTCCAACAAGAGCTGCTTGTCTTTCTCAGAATTTACATAAACTTAGGTCACCTGACAATGTAGAATGCAGCCACAGAAGGGAATTCACACTCAATTTAACTACAGACTCTGGCAACTAAAAGCCAGAAGTCCAGCTCCAAAAGGCTTAAAACTTTTCTGTATGAGCAAACCATCAAGGGACATATTTATTGAGCAACCTCTATGCTAGAGAGCAGGCTTGCCAACAATGCCTCTTCCAACAGCATTCTACTGTACTTTGCTTGCCAATTAAGGTTTAGGATGAATAGATAAACAAAATGTGGTATTATACACAATGAAATATTATTCAACTTTACAGAGACAGGAAATTCAATACACACTACCAAACAGATGAACCTTGAGGACACTATGCCAGGTGAAATGAACCAGTCAGAAAAAGACAGGACCCCACTTACACGAGGCACCCAGAGCAGCCAAATTCATAGACAGAAAGTAGAGTGGTGGCTGCTAGGGGCTGGGCAGAAGCGAAATGGAACAGAGTTATTTAACAGGTAAAAAGTTTCAGTTTTACAAGATGAAAAGAGTTCTGGAGATTGGTTGTACTTACCACTGCTGAACTGTACACTGAAAAATGGTTAAGAGAGTAACTTTTATATTATGTATATCTTACCACAAAATTTTTAAAGATTTTATTTATTTTTACAGAATCAGAAAGGGAGGGAGATAGACAGGGGGAGAAACATCAATGTGAGAGGGAAACATCGACTGGTTGCCCTTGTATACGCCCCGACTGGGATGTGCCCCAACTGTGGACCAAACCCACAACCAGCGCATGTGTCTGGACCGGGAATCAAACTGGTGACCATTCACCTTGTGGGACAATTAACCGAGACACTCCAGTCAGAGCTATCTTACCACAAATTTTCAAAAAAAATTTTAGACTGTTTTTTTTTTAAAACAAAAAACAGTCTAAACTATAAATAGACACTGCATCTTGACTGTGGTGAAGACTACAAGAGTGTATACATTTGTCAAAATTTAATGAACACTTAACAAACAGGTGAACTTAATTTATGTAAATATACTCAACAAAGTTGTTTTTTTTAAAGTTTCATAACTGAAAGTTTTTAGCGAGGTCATCTGTCTTGATTTTGTCACTTTCTTAAATCTATCCCCACCCCAAGCCATGCCAGATCAGACACGTCCCCAAAGTTGCAGGTGCCACACTTACTGCAAGATGCTCATTTTGAGCTGCAGGCCGTGCAGAACCTCAATCACTCTCTGCACATCCCCGAGAAGCTGGTGAGTGGCCACAATCTTCTTGGCATTCTGGTGGGAGTAGTTCTCTTCTAAAAATGCCAGGCCATGCATATGGCCCCTAGTCAACCACTCCTTGTCATACCAGTACTTTAAGCCAGGCCTCTGACCTAAAATAGTGAATGACAAAGACGGTTAATGCTTGGCCTGAAGGAAACCATATTATTTCACCATTGTACAATTATCACACAAATGAATGGAAGGATGGGTTGGTGTGTCCATTGTATTCATTTACCCATCCAATAATCATTTACTTGGCACCTACTATATTCTAGGCTGCCTAGTAAGTGTTAGGGACAAGGTAGTAAGATATGTAAGTTTCCTGATCTCCACGAAATATCCAGAGGTACAGTGGGAACTGGAATATCTCTTCAAATTTAAGTCACATCATTCCCACATCTGTTTCTGGTCCTGACTCCACTAAGAGCCAAAAGAAGAGTAATGATCTTGCTCAAGGTTATATTTCCAGTGCCTGGCAAAATGCACCCTGAATGGATTTATAAAATGGCAAGAAGCCCCAAGTGCACATCCAACTGCCAACTACCACTGAGCCAAGTAACGACCAGGCTCCCTCCCTTCTCTAGACCTCCATCCATCTGGTCCGGCAGATGACCTGGATGGCTTCGGTAGTCTTGTCCATCATAGGGACTCTTAGGAAGGACTAAAAACATGACGCCATGTGACTTGGCAGTGTTTCCAGCTCCAAAGCCCAGGGAACAACTTTCAGACTGTTGTTTACCTCCCAATATCCAGAAATAACCTACACGATCCCTATCAAGGTCCCTTGGTTCTTCCTGGCTTTCCCAAGACTCGTGGTAGGAACGCACTGTGATTCTGTTAAAAGCATCTGTAAGTAACCTTTAACTCTGTTAGGTTAAAATTCTGGCGCAAGATACTACAAAGTGCAACCGAGTCTACAAACGTGGCAGACACTGAGTTCTCAATTCAAGGAGAAATCTATTCATTCTTGGCAATTAGAGTTATTAAAGAGAGTATAAAGGGGATAAATGGTTATGGAAAAAATAAAAATAAACTATTAAAAATAAGTTCAGAAAGTGTACAGCAATTGTATGATTTCTAAAAAGAGAAAAGCAGAGGGAAAGAATGGGAGACAATGAAGTAGATAAAAGATTTTTAAACAGTGCCTTAAAGAGCCCCCCTAAAATCTCAGAGGCAGCTGCTGCAAGAAGCCACCTGAACAGGATTCAGAGCAGCATTATTTGTTTTCCAAGACAAAAGTTAGAGACACTGGTTCTCATTTTTTGTCATGTCCATTCTGGGTCTGTATTTTCTCACCTGTCAAATGCTGGGGCTAAACTAAGTGGTCTCTGAGATTCTGCCCATCAAACATATTCTATGACTCATAGATGAATCTTCTAACCACATTCCTTCCTTGAGATATAGGGAAAAACAGAGGCAATTCCTCTCCGTCTATGGTCTAATCTAACACATGGAGACACAGTGTCACAAACAGAGGTTATCAGGCTCTGAGGGGACCTACTAGCTGGAAAATGAACTGTGGTGGCCAGCCCCGCCCTACACAACCAGCAAAATCAGGACATTTGGCCCCGAAAACCAGTTCTAATTCCAATTTGCTTCATGAGATTAGGAAAGTCATTCATACCTATTACATCAATTTTTTTCTCATTAGCAAAAATAGGAGTAGGTGTTCCTACCAGGCACCTCACAGGACTAAAAGGAATAATGGAAGCAGAGGTTCTCAAGTACTGCCTGGGTATAAGGAGGTCAAGGGACTGGAGCTGAGGGGAGATGTTATGGGTGGTGAAGGGAGAAGATGTTACCATTCTACTGACAGCAAGACAAGAACAACCGATTTATTATCCACCCCTGAGACTTCTAAGAAGGGGCACCCAAGAGCCATAGGCCAGCCTGGTGGCCATGGAACAATGACATTAAATGACCCTGCTAAGGAATTAATTCACTGCTTTGGGTGGCAGTTAGGCGCTTTGAAACCACACCTTTCCCTTTCCCCTCAAGGGCGCATCTCCCTCCCTGGTGCCGATGAAGCAATGAAGGGCAGATGCCACCAGAGGGAGCAGAGGCAGGTTTCTAACCCTCCACCAGCCTCTAAAAGCCAAGGACAGAGCCCACATCCTCATGAACTCTCAGGAAAAGGAGAGTTCTGAAACTTGAACGATACAGAGAAGATTAGCATGGCCTTTACACAAAGAGGACATGCAAATTGGTAGAGCATGTCAGTTTTTAGAGTTTCAGTCACTCAAGGTGAGTTATTCTGAACATCTGCTGTACAACACTGCTTCGTTTATAAGCAGTACTGTACTGTACACTTAAGATGATGTTAAGAAGGTGTATCTCACACTACACAATATTTACAATAAAAAATAAATAAATTCTAGCTCAAGGCCAGCTCTTCCACTTGGCGAACCTTTTCATACACGGTCGCTTACTGCTAAGCTTAGGGAAGCTGGCCAGTAGGTGAGTGAGCGACAAAGGTAAGAGAGGTCAGAGTCCAGCCGATGCTGAAGAATGAATCTCAAGACCACGAACACTTAGGCTGCTTCACAACCAGCTGTGCCAAGGAAAAGGCTACATACTGTTAATATCCCTGGCTCCAGAAATCTCTACCTGGAGGGTCTTGGCAAACATAACAGGTGTATTTCTCAGGCACATTTTCTTCCAGTAATCCCATGCAGACCCCATGCTGCCAGCACTGGCACTCTTCACACTGTTAGAATTAAAGAAGTAATAAAAATTAAACTCAGAAGATATCCTCTGTCCAAAAATAAGACCCACCCGTGGGAGGAGGGGACAGTGGGAGGTGGAAGAAGAGGGGAAGCCCTGGCTGGTGTAGCTCAGTGGATTGAGCACAGGCCTGTGAACCAAACTGTGGTTCGATTCCCAGTCAGGGCACATGCCTGGGTTGCAGGCCAGTTCCAAACAGGGGACGCATGGGAGGCAACCACACATTGATTATTTCTCCCCCTCTCTCCTTCCCTTCCCCTCTGAAGATAAATAAATAAAATCTTTATTAAAAAAAAAAAAGCTTTCAGCTTAAAAGAAAAAAAAAAGAAGAGGGGGGAGAGAGCACCCATGATCGACTTACACAGGTGTAGGGTGTGACCGTTCATCCAGAACTCTGTTAGCCAACATGACAGCTACGAGCCACCGTGGCTCTTTACATTTGCATTAAGAAATTAAGTTAAAAATTCCATTCCTTAGTCCCACTCGCCACATCTTAAGTGCTTAATAGCCGCACAAGGCTAGTGGCGACTGTACTGGACAACACAGATGAAGAATACTTAGATCCATTAACAATGCTGGTCTCTAAACATCGTTTTCATTCTCATTCCTAGAGGCTTAAACTTTTCTGATCTTTTTGACAAGAAAAATTGCTGAAGTGTTTAGAGTAAGACTAACTTGTAATGACAAAAACCTGAATGTGCATTCTGGTTCAGATACTCATTAGCTCTGTGACCCTGCAGGGGTCACTTCTGCAGCCAGAGCTTCAGTTCCTCATCTGCAAAATGGGATGCTACCCTACCGACCATGTGGGCTGTTTATGAAAAACCAATGGGTTATGTATAAAAGTTCCTATCTCACAACTTTAATTATTAAGAGCCTATAACTACTACTAATGACCAACCTAATTCCACTTTGATGCCTCCTGAAGTAACCATGTGTTAGCACTTTACATTTATTTTCTCTAAACCTTACCAAAGGTCACACCACACAGCTGAAGAGAGGCAAAGGTGGATCAGAACACAAGCAGGCAAATTGCAAAGCTAGTTCTTTTAATTCCTAAACCTCACTGCTTTTCTTGGGTAAAGGGTGAGGTGGGGAGAGGGAGGTGAAGGAGAAGCAGGAGGTACAAAGAGAAAGAAAGGAGCAGACAGCAAGGGCAATATTGGGAGACCTGTGGAAAGTAAGCCTGAGGACTAAAGGGTCCAGAGGAGGAATTGAAGGAAGAAAAGCAGATGTCAAAAGAAATACTAAAATACTTCATGCAATTCCAAACCAGGGCCCCAAACCCAACTAAACGAATAGCTCTGGAAGGTAGACAGTGAGCTTCTTTACATGGCCTTGAGGATGGGCCACCAGCCCAGCCACAAGGGACTGAAAGTCTGTTCAGACAATCTTCAGCCACTTCGAGTCAGATAGTCTCTAGCATGAAGAGGACTTTTGTGGGCAGATACAAACCCTCTAGGAAGCTGATCATTTCAGAATCAACAGGGGTAGAGCTAGGAAAGAAACTTCAGATAAGATCTGATCCAGATTTTTCCATTTCCAATGAGAAAACTAAAGCTCAGAGAGAAAGTAAAGAGTGTATAGCAACAAAGGTAGCACAAAAAAAGTCTAGCAATTGGAATGAAAGTCTCTCTCACCAATGAGTTTGTGTCTTGAGAACTAGGATTCACCACAATTGAATCAAATACAGCCAAGATGAAAATTTCAAAATAGCTTTCTTCATGTGAGTCTGGCTAAAATGCATTATTCATTTTTTAAAATACATTTTATTTATTTTTAGAGAGAGGGGAAGGAAGGGAGAGAGGAAGAGAGGGAGAGAAACATCAATATACAGGAGAAACATCAAGCGGTTGCCTCTCACATGCCCCCAGCTAGGACCTGGCCCACAATTCAGACATGTGCCCTGACTGGGAATCAAACAAGCAACCTTTCAGTTCACAGGCTGGAACTCAACTCACTAGCCAGGGCCATTATTCATTTTTTTTAAAGTTTGAATTTAGAAAAGAATAAGAATAACATAAAAGATAAAATGTCTAAGAATAAATCTAAACCAATTTAAGAATAAAAATACCTAAGACTAACTAAAAATAAAATATGCAAGATCTCTATGAAGAAAAACTTAAAATACTATTTGAGAGATGCAGAGCCTTAAGTCAATGGTAAGGTGCACCTTTTACACCTGGTTAGCAGGAGTTGCATATGGTGTTGGGGAAAATGCACAGCCATAGTCCTCATCTCTTTATCCTACCTGGATAAATTCCAGGTAGATCAAATATTTCTATGTTTTAAAAAAAATTAACGAAACCCCCAAAGTACCATAAGAAACCATGAGAATCCTTTTATTAACATTCCTATAAACTTTTATGAACTTCCAAGTAGAAAGCAACTATTATTCAAATCTCAGAAGCCATAAAGAAAACTTTTAATATATCTGACTTCAGAAAAACAAAAAATCTGTAAGACAAATCAGAAAACAGATGACAGAGTAAGAATGTGAATACAAACATTTGTAACTACCAATACAAAAACCCTTCTACAAAATAGCCTATACAAATGAGCAGCAAAAAGACCAAGCATTCAACAGAAAAATGAAGAACATGAACAGACATATCAAGGAAAAAAACCTAATTCTTAAATAAAAAGAGGTTCAAATCAACCCTTAAAAGAATAAATTAATGTAAAGTAACTTCAGTTAATATAAATTAATATGAAATAAAAGCAGACTAATAATATGCATAACACAGTATTTCTAGGTTTGGGGATTACATGTAAATATCAATTTTTTTATACCTTTAGGTACTGTCTGAAGTTTTTATAACATTTACTACCTTCATCATAATAAAAATGTTATTCTTATGAAAAACTGTTTATAGAGTAAAATTCTCATTTATATGTTCATGTGTATATGTGTATTCCAAAATATTAACAGTAGTCATCCATAGGTAAAAATAATCTGGGTGATTTCTTTTTTTTCCCTTATATTTATTTATTTTTTGAGAGACAGGGAGTAAGAAAGAAAGGGAGAAGAAAAACACTGATGTGAGAAACATCCATTGGTTGTCTCTAACACACACCTCAACCAGAGACTGGGCCCACAATCCAGGCATGTGCTCTGACCAGGAATCGAACTGCTGACCTTTGGCATTGTCATATGACGCCTAACCAACTGAGCCACACTGGTCAGGGTTCTGGGTGATTCTTGTTTTCTAATTTGTGATTTTCTGCATTTCCCAAATGCTACAATTATGAAATGTTTAAAACTTATTTTAAAATAAATAACAAAATGGCTATACCAACAGACTATTTTTTCACTTAATGAGCAAAGGTAAAAAGGTTTAATAGCACAGCATATACTAACAAGGGTGCCTGACGTGAATTCTTTAGTACTGCCTCTGCAGAGGGTTTATATAATATTGCTATGACGAACAGCAATATTTATTAAAATTACAAATGCACATACCGTATAGCCCAGGAATCCCACTTCCCAAATTAGGACCCACAGGTATATTTATACAAAATTACTCATTACATCACTATTATGATTAGAAACAATCTAAATGTCCATCAATAGGGGAAAGGTTAAATAAATTACCATCCATGCATTATGTAGTCATAAAAAAGAATAGGGGAGCTTTTTATATTTGAAAATGAAATGGTCTTCAACTTATATATATTGTTATATTTAAAAAAAGATCTTGAAAATACCACATCTAAGACATTACTTTTTTAAAAATGCTGGTTGCAGATATGTGACTATACTCAATGCCTATTCATTCAATGCCGCATACACTTAAAAATGGTTAAAATGGTAAATTTTGTTATGTATAATTTACCACCAAAAACAAAAGAATGAAGAGAATATATTTGTTATTGCTTGTTTAGCTACCGACTGTTTATGGAATGACATACCAGACGATAAGGGCTGCCTCTAGGGTAGGGCAGCTGACTGACCGAGTAGCAGTAAGATTTTTCTCTGCATACCTAAGCATACTTCTCAGACTTTGAACTATGCAAGTGCCTTAGATAGCAACAGATAAATAATATAAATTCTAAAACAAACAAAACTTTTACCATGCATGGGCTTCTTCTTAAAACTGCTACACAATTTATACTGAGGTTTGGCACCCAACATATATGTGTTGCTCTATGGCAAAGGTCAGCAAGCTACAGTCCACAGGCCAAATCCAACTGGAGTCCTGCTTTTGTAAATAATTTTTTATGACCATGCTCATTCATTTTACATACATACTCACCTACATCTGCTTAGGGCAGGGCTGAGTAGTTGCACAGAGACCATATGGTCTTCAAGGCCTAAAATATTATCTGATCCTATTAGAATACGTTTGCCAAAACCTAGCCTATAATAATTAAAATAATTTAAATATCAAATGGGTTTTCTGATGTTCATTTTCAATGTGGTACTCAGATTTCTCAAACATTCAAAATTACTAAGTAGGATTTTATCCCCCCAGTGATTTGAATTAGTAGTGATAAATGAA